ACCTTTCTGGAATGGTAGGACCTCGAGGGGACAGGCGTCTCAGTGGTTGTAGCTAGCTGAGTGACTGTGATATGCAAGCCTAACCAGCAGCTATCGGCTGGCCTACCACAATGTACTAAATTAGGCAGGATGAGGGTTCGTGTTGGCCAGACCAAGGTATGGCACCAGGCGATTAAGTCTCTGACTGTTAGTCTGAGCCATTTGGGAAGGTCTAAACTGCCTGGTTGACGTCATCGAGGTGACAGGAACCAGTGATTGAGGACTCTCTTGACATGACTGATAATTGGACAAGATGGTGCAGATAAGTTCACCCCTTGACACCTAAACCTTGAGTATTTGTACTAGTCGTTATCTTCAGATTATTTATTGCCCTATACAGTCTTTTTCTATCCACCTCTTCTTTGTATACTACTCTGAAGTGTGACAGTTTCAGTCAATTCACCTATGTGCGACGTTCTAAGTTGATTTTGTCAGTCACTCAGTTATCCAACTTCGTCTAAGCAAAGTAGTGATAGAGTGATTTTTGCATATTGTAGAAGAACATTTGTTGGAAAATTGTATATTTAACTATTCAATGAATCTTGGTAAATTGAATCTTGGACCATCTGGGTATAAATTTAGACCTTCACTATCTCCATTTTAGGTTAATATTTGTGTGTTTGCGAAGACTGGTGATATCACCTGGTTGCCCACACCTCAGGAGGTGGAGTAGGGTTCAAACTGTTGTTCCACTGGCTAGAAGTCGAGTACCTGGAAAAACGATCCACAACTCAACTCTTCAACATGAGCTATTAGTATATGACAGAGTATCGCGGGTTTAATTTAGAAATGTGGATGTAAGGGAGTGTAATGTTTCAAACTTATGTAAATTTAAATCTGCTTTGCTAGTGACAATTTTAGGTTACTTAAAACCAATATTTACATGCGTGATCCACACATCCCACTACTTCACTTCCAATCATTAACATGGGAGTGGTTGCACACCGGTCCTGGAGCATCATCTTAGACTGGACGTGTGCAAAATGCACACCAAACAAACTCAGATATCTGCTGAATGCTTCCAGAAGACCCTGTATTTTGTCAGCGTCTTCATGTAGCATAACAATATCATCTGCATACTCCAAGTCAACCAGGGAGTAGATCAATCCATGTGAAGTTAGTACTTCTATAATGAAGTTAGACAGGAACGGTAACAGTGGGCATCCCTGGTGCACACCACTAGTTGTCGTCAATTCAGATTATAGCTCTTCATTAGCCCTTACACGGTTGCGTGAGTTTGAGTGCAGAGCTTTGATAGGTATTATATGCTTGCTGGATACGACCTTCATAGTTGGACACTTTCACATCTCATGATCGACAGAGTCAAATCCCACCTTCAGGTCAAGAAATGTTGGAAGTATCAGATGCTGGTAGGTATATCTGTATTCCAGAAGCTGTCGAAAGGTGGAAATTTGATCAATGCTTCGTCGCCTAAGTCAGAAAACTGCCTGTTTTTTTCTCAAGTTTGCTGTTCTTGAGTTACAGTTAAAAGTCGGATAACTATGGTCTCTAGGATCTTGGACACAATATTAAAAATTAGCCTCATTTATTTTTTATTCGAGACTATTTTTTAGATTAAGCTAATGAAGTCAGACTGATAAAATAACCCAATGAAAACTTCAAGAGTCTACTATTTTTGTTGTGTTTATCATCTGCTTTATATGATCTTCGGAAATCTTTCGCATCATATGATTTTTCAGAAAGTATGTAATGCGCTATCAAACTTGAGTTTTAGCGTATACTCTGAGGGTGTTTTAAGCGAACAGTCATTTGTTTTACGTAATCTTCCCTCATGATCACCATTCTTCATGATGTTTCTCGGTTTTTTTTTTCGTCAAAAAATTCGATTTGGATACTGATAAGTAGTTAGGGTTTAAGCAATGAAATAGACTCTTGGTTGTGTCGCTTTCTCAGAAAAATAGACTAAAAACTGGAACGATTGTTTTGAAAAGAAAAAAAACATATTAAAACATAATTACTGTAAATTACTCCTTTTTTTTTTAGTGGAGCAAGTATATCTGGTGAATACAGTTGATAATTTCGATAGAATGCTACTTATTTTGTAGTTGTCTACTGATTATTTATGTCCAGTATGAAATAGCATATAAAGACATAGAAGGTAGTTCAATTTACTCCAAGATGAAGTTTATTCAGATTATTATACTTGGATGTAGACTAAAACTGTGTAATAATTTTTATTAGCTAAATATCATTCAACTACAGTTGATTCTTAGAACTTCATTGAATATTTATATTACACAGTAGGTATTTGATTAAGTGGACATGTAGTGATACCTTTCAAATTTAACACCTAATTATCTTATTTCAGTTGATTGATTCAGTGATCAATTGAAGTTGATACTCTTATTTTACTGTATGTGCTAAATATTAAATTTGTTGATATATGAGGCATCCTATCAGCTTTCTTTTGAAATATCAACCTATATATGCTGCATGAATCTAGTTACCATAACTGTATAGAGGTCTGTCGGGATTTATTCATTATAAGGTGATATTATTTACAGAATAATGGAAAGCCTAGTAGCAATAAACCAATATTTCATCCTGATATGGACCTCTCTAGCTATAAGCACCTATGAACTTACTGGAATTCAAAAATAGGTTTTATGACAAGCACTCTGCTATTGAGCTGCTGAATCGAAATTTAATGGTTCACAGTTTTTTTAATTTCTGTTTACTTGTGATGAGAGTCAACTTCTACAAATCTCCAAATTGAACTCTTAGTGACATACTTTAAGATGAATATCCTTTAACCTCTGAAATCAACCAAGATGGGTCATTGATATGTATCGCTGTGAAGTCTCGTGTTACGACGAAACATTTGTACACAGTACTCTCAGGTTGCCAATAGTTCTTCAACTGATATCAATCTGTAAAGAATACTATCATGAACTTGAAACCGATTCTATTGTTTAAGGAATACAAATTTGACACTATGAAATAAAATTACTTAGAGAATAAAATGGTTAAGTGACTTTCTACTGTCTTGACATTTGAATCAGTATTTGTTTATACAATCTAACTATCAAATCCATATAAAGGGTGTTTTTCGTTCAGTGAAAAAGATTTTGAAGTTTTCTTATGCGTAATTTGTGTAATGTATTATGCAACAGCTAGTCTAAAATGTTTATGTATTTCTTACTGTAATATGCAAGACTAGTTAGTTATGTAGGTGTAAAGGATTCTTGGTATAATATTACCAAGAGTCAAAACTGAAAATATATAAATTAGACAGCTCAGAGTAGACTTTTTTCTATTTTTTTTATTCTCTCTTAATATTTAATTTCTATATAAATGGAAAATTAATTTCTGATGTCTTGTGACTTTGTGGAAATCACTTCTTCAGAGAATGAAACGTGTACAAGTTATCGACTATTTAAATAGTCAACACAAATGAGTATAGTCTTTATTATACTCTGAAGAAACGATTTTCATGAAGTCATGAAACATTAGAAATTTATCTTTTCACTTCACTAAGATTTTATAGATACATTTCATTTATCTTTCATTTACCTAATGCTCAACTTAATCGACTATATCATTTCAAATCTTGATCCTGAAGTTTATAAAAATCACTTTATGTCCACTTCATAACAGAAAATATTCTTAATCGTACTTATTTATCTAAAATCATAAGAATTAATTTACTTAGTTGTGGCTAACAGAGGAGTCTATGATGTGCGTTTCAACTGGATGTACCTACACCCCCACTAAGACTCAAACTTCATAGCTATCTGTTCAGACACCGAGGCGTTATCCACTAAGTCATTAAGGCGAGATTATTATTATTATTATTATTATTAGTCCCTTGGGTTCCTAGTGGAACATAGGGCTTCAGTAGCACGCCTCCAGTGACCTCTGTTCTCTGAGATCTTTTGAACCTCGTCCCACGTCAGCCCACAAGCTCTCATTTCCTCCTCGCACGACCTCCTCCATGTCACCCTCGGACGTCCAACTCGTCGCTTCCCATGGGGATTCCACTCGAGTGACTGGCCTGACGCGTGATGTCCTGGGTCGGCCTTCTCAGTGCATGGCCAATCCATCTCCACTTCTTCCTGCATATTTGTTGGGTGATAGGTTCTTGGTTGGTTCGTTCCCAGAGTTCCTTGTTGCTTATTTTTTCTGGCCATCTGATCTTCAGCAGCGAGCGTAAGCAGTTGTTGATGAATGTCTGTAGTTTATTGGAAATGCCTTTCGTGACGCGCCGCCAAGTCTCTGAGCCATACAAGAGCACTGACTTGACGTTGGTGTTGAAAATCCGTATCTTGTTCCGCATGCTGAGTGCAGAAGATCTCCACACTGGTTTCAGGCTAATGAACGCCTGTCTTGCTTTTCCGATTCTGACTTTGACGTCCTCGTGCGTCCCGCCTGTAGTTGAAACAGTACTTCCTAGATAAGTGAAGGAGGTTACTTCCTTCAAGTTTCTCCCGTTGACGGTGATTGGAGTTTGTTGTTGTTGTTGATGGTGGTGGTGCGGTGTCTTCATCACTTCTGTCTTCTCTATATTCACCTGAAGTCCCGTCTTAGCTGCCTCTTCTATCAACTTGTTAGTTTTTGCCTGCAGATCTTCAAGTTTGTGTGACATTAGGCATAAGTCATCGGCGAAATCCAAGTCTTCTAGGTTCTTTTCCGCAGTCCAGCCAGTGTATCCCCCTTTTCTCGCTGCCTACTGTTTGCTGCCATTAAGGCGAGATAGCCACCTTTTTTTTTTGATGTAATTGTAATTCTTCATTGTTATACTGGATTGAATCGTTCGATCTCTAGTGGCGTATGCGCTTGTATGCGGATACCTCGATATTGCTTAAATATTTTTATTGTGTTTTTAATATATACTGCCAAATGGATCGTTTGACGGTGTTATTAGAGTATTCATTATTTCACTTAAGTGCTTTTCTTGGAATAAATTAATTTTTTCTTTTTAATCTGTTTTCTCTTTAAAGGTGAATATCATAGGCGAATTCGTCGTTTTGTTTTCTAAATATATCATGAAAGTTTCTTCTAAACGTTTTATTCAATAATATACCATGTATACTAAACCAAGAATGGTTAGCATATTTATTCCTCGATTTATTCATAATAAAAAAAATATTAAACGATGAAACATAATTGTATACAAGCTAATATTCAATAGTCAATGAAGTAATAATATTTACTAGCCAATTATAATAACAAATAAATAATCAATCAAAAAGAATAACATTAAAGAATACTGATCAAATAATGAATTGTTTCAATGAATCATTTAATAAATTATCAAATTATGAAATAGAAATTTCATTTGGTAAAATTGCTAATTACAATGAATTATTGAATAAAACAATAGTTAATAATTTGAACTCAGAATCGAATTTAACTAATGAAAAAGTTTTCTATTCATTTTGTTATTCTTTCAATCATATATTAAGAAATAAAAATATGTTAAAAAAGTCTTCATATCAGTTTATACCGGATTTTTATAAAGAGAAAGATATTGTTAATGGTTGTAAATGCAAATATTGTCCTAATAATAAAACTTCAGCAATGATTATTCCACCATTCAATGAAGAGTTGTTAAATCCTTTTTCTGAATATATAGAAGAAAATGCCGGGTAAGTTATTATTTTAATAGTGAATTTGTAGTCTGATAAGTTTCATGTGTAAGTTTTTTTTTTTAAAAAAAAATACATTTTTAAAGCCTTAAAAATGTTAGATAGAGACAGTTATTATTATTATTATTATTAGTCCCTTGGGTTCCTAGTGGAACATAGGCCTTCGGTAGCACGCCTCCAGTGACCTCTGTTCTCTGAGATCTTTTGAACCTGGTCCCATGACAGCCCAGAAGCTCTCATTTCCTCCTCGCACGACCTCCTCCATGTCACCCTTGCCTCGGACGTCCAACTCGTCGCTTCCCATGGGGATTCCACTCGAGTGACTGGCCTGACGCGTGATGTCCTGGGTCGGCCTTCTCAGTGCATGGCCAATCCATCTCCACTTCTTCCTGCATATTTGTTGAGTGATAGGTTCTTGGTAGCTAAAGTAGCTAAAGTTTATTTTTTCATGGACTAATTTTTAGTTGAGTATTTGACCTTATAAGATACCTTTATTGATATTAATTTTATGAGGATAAGATTGTTTAGAGAGGAGTTCCTCTGCACACTAGTTAAGGTATAGTAGTATTATGTAGTAGAAAAATTATCGTTTAAGTTTATCCTCAATCTTCTGATACTATTTCATCAATACAGCTATTTAAGAGAGCAGTGATAATGAGTCAGGTGTTTGTAATTTAAGTATATTCAGTTTCTTTAGTTCCTTCCTTATCATCACCGAAGATCAATAGAATAGTCAACTGATGTTTCACTATTTAATACTGCTAATAGATTTATAATAGTTATAGTAAACCAGAATTTATAATATCTGAAATATCTTAACTTAAAACTGAAGAATACTAAGCTATGATGTCAATTTTTTATACACTAGTATTTCAATTAATGATAACTTAAATATTATATCTAATTTACTAGACTTAAACACAACAATGATAAATAGATTTTCATTGAATACCAGTGACACCATCAATATCCTAAAACTCTTCTAACAGACTACTTACTTGACATTTCAAGAAGAAATATACGGTCAAACTAACATTGATTGCGATGATTTCACCTAACTTGTCTTAGCTTGCTTAGTTAAGCCAAAAATTTGATTGCGATATATTAATGGTAGTATATAAGCAATTTTGAAATGTAACTTATGCTAGGTATTTTCAAATTCAGCTCAGAAAAGAAACGAGTAATAGGAAAGTGTATCTCCTTGATTGCTATGTTAAACGGAAGGAAAAAAAAAATAAACATTTGGGTATAACCATCTTCAGAAAGACAACGTATTTGAACAAATATTTAGATTTCAACTCATTACAGTTTCTGTTACCCCTAGTCTTTAAAGGAGAGCACACAATCTAGCAACAGATAAAAATGAAAGAGTTAAGAAATTAAGATATATAAACAAGATGCTTAAAATGAATAAATACCTGGCGAAATTCATTTGCAAAATAGAAAATGGCATTAAATGAGATGGTAAAACTACTCTTAAAGCATAGGCTTCAAATATGTTTATCTTATACACATCACATAAATCGTATAAAATTGGGAGAGTGCTCAACAAATGTATTATCAGAACGTTCTACAAGACACTAAGCATACTACAGAGCACTAAACGATGAGATCCCGCTGGAATTACAATCTAATTGTGTTTAAAAAATAAAATGTTCAGACTGTGATGCAGTATGCATAAAACAAACTTACTATGAAATCAAAATTAGAGAAAATGAACCGCGTAGAGCTTCAACCTGACCTCCTAGAAGTTCATTGGAAAGCACATCAACCCTACCTATACATCCTATAAATTCAGGTTACATGGTCGATTTTGACAATATCGAAATTATTCAGAAAGGTTTTAGAAATTTTAAAAATTGTCTCATAACAGAATCTTTTCATATAAAACGAAATCGAAATTGGTTGAATAGGAATGAGGGAAAAAAATGTAGTTTAACGTGATCTCAGCCAATCCCCACAAGGTGGCATAATCAACACCGATGGTATAAGAACTATGAACACATGTGTATGTTGAATTTTTGAAGGAGTCAAAGCCTGAAAGTTGTGAGGCCAGTTACTCAACGATGACATTGGGTGGTGGTTGCGCTATATCATGAGTTAACAGAAGTTGTAAATATGGAGCATTGGATTCTGACCCAGTGGCTCAATGGTAACACGCTAGCCGCGGAACCTGAAGGTCGCAGGTTCGATCCATGGCGATGCGGGGTCGTGGGTGTGCACTGCTGAGGAGTCCCATTCTAGGACGAGACAGCTGTCCAGTGCTTTCAGGTTTCCTTTCTTCCTCCAACTGATGTCAGTCTTCGATGAATAACAACTTGAAACATGTGTATATACAAATTCCAGTCTGTAATTCATACACTCTTCACATACAACACGCTACTTCTGGATATCATCTTTATTCTACAATTCTGACATCATAGAAGAACACTTACCAAGTTATCAATATATGTAAGCTTGTATATTGTAAATTCCAGTTTACTATCACTTTGATAAAGCTATTAGCAGTTTTCTATGGTGAATAGTTAGTTGAAACAAATTTTACTTTATTTTTCATTCTCACTGGGAAATATCATTTATCCAATGCCTAAATTTTTTCAAACCATTAAATCCTAACTTGGTTTAGATATTTATAAGGTAATGAACAATAAGGATAATGCTTCTCTTGAAACAGATTACAGATCAATACAATAACTAGCTGTATACAAAACACTATTTGTAGATGACATTTTGAGTTACATTATTCAAATTTATGAAAAAAAAAGTAAAGAGTATTGAGTCTGGATTAGTATGCTACTGAATTCTATATACCCAAATCCTTTTATGTGTTATTCAAGTTCCCTGCCTTCTCAGCACACCTTATTTCATTCGTATGGAGTACTTACTTAAAGCTGGCGTAGGGAAATGTATCTTTAATAAAACGTACCGAGCTGTTTTCATTATATGATGCTGTTCACAGTTACTCCTGAAAGTTGTTAATTTAAATATTTCAGATGATTTATCATATTTCTACCTTTCATTAATTAACTTTATGCAAATTAGGTTTATTCATTTTTGTTAATAAATGAGAATAAAAGATCATAGAATTAGAAAGTAATTAACTGGTCCTATAAGAAAATTACTAGAGAAGGGAATTACATTGATTATAGTTTACTTAGCTAGAAGTTTACTTGCATCGATCCTAAGACTTATGTCCTGAGGATATATTAATCATAAAGACTTTGAAAGCAAGTTACAATGGTGTGGATTTTAGCTTTGAGAGTGTGTTTCTCAAAGATTTTACATACGTCCTGTTGATGAGCAGTAATAAGCTAGAAACGGGTTCAAGAATTCCTTTTTATAGTTTGCAATTATGAAACGTCACATCCTGAATTTGACATAAAATGTTAACTTATATCCACTATTGTAATGATGCTTGTATTTTCCCGTTGTTATACAGGACTATATAGCTCAACTTCTAATGGCAGATGGGCTCCTATAAGGGTGCCTCGATACTGCCGGATATACATGTTGTTATGCAACGAGAAATTACAAGTATCAATAATACAACAACTGATACCTGTTGCACAACAAGTGGTTATCGTGCTCTAGTGGCTTAGTGGATAACGCCTTGGAGTTTGAATTGAAGGGTACTGGGTTCAGGCCTCAGTGGAACAACATCACTTAGCATCGGGGTGCAGGTACATCCATCTGAAGAGTCAGGAATAAGACGAAACGCGCGTCCTGGATTCTTCTGCTAGTCTCCAAAACTAGTATCACGTTATCTCAACTATGTTGGCAAGAAAGATGTGTTCTCTTGTGGTTTATATAAAAAGAAATAGACAAAATTAAAATTTATATTATTTCACAGAATATTTTATAAACGAAAAGGCTAACGCTGGTACCTCACATGGCATTTTATTATCTACACTCCCTAGTCAGACAGACCAAATCAACGACGAATGTCGGACATAAGTGCATCGGTTCAAGTTACCAAAGAACAGATGGATAGATAGATATAGTAGGCGTTGTATGAGAGAACAAACAATCTGAAGAAAATGGTTAGTGCTAATATTCAAGCTTTAGAAGACATGAAGGAGTGAATACATCTATGCCATCTTGACCAATTTTCATCAAGACTTCCTAATCACTAGTTTCTATAGTCTTGGAGACACTTGTATACTTTCTATAGGGTTACAAATTCAATAGAAGTAATGCAATTGTATTAATTGTATTCTAACTGACTTATTTTACACATTACGGTTGTGGATTAACGATCAAGAATTTTTGGTTAAGTAAACCTTTGCTTAGTATAACCGTAAGTATTGGAATTACAAGTATTGTCTACTTTTTCTTTATGTTTATTCGCTGAGTAGCATCCTTAACGTATCATAAGGAGAAGTATACCAAATGAAAAGTGGAACAAATTTAATCATTAAATATTATTTGATAAGTTTGTTAAATTAATCGTAAACTATATGCATAAGTTTATGCTTTTTTTTTTTTAACAATTATTCTGTTAATAATTTTTTTTCTTCTTTTCTCTATCAGAAAGTTAATCTCTTGTACAGGTTTATATTTTTCAACTGAAACTAATAATTTAAACAGTAAACATAAAATGATCAATTATGAAAAATATTTACCGACTATTAATACTTGTAAATCTCCTACTGTTTTAAACTATAAAAATACTAAACCAATTTGTCATAATTATGAATATTTCAATGGAATAAAGATATACCGAAATAAATGTAAAAATCAGTCTCATTTTATGCCTGAATCAAGTGTGAATGACGGTCGTTTAAATCATTTTCTATTGAAACTAAAAAATTTAATGAAACTAATACGAAAATTTTCAAATCTTGGTATAATTGAACGTGATGAAGTGAAAGAAGTAGCTGACAATCCTCATCCTTCTCCTCCTCCTCCTCCTACTTCTACTACCATCGACAAATCTATCCCAAAGGATGATAAGAGAAGACGGAAAACGCTATACAACAAACAACATTATCATTCCATATAATCAATCATACAAAACATTGTAATGATCATGATTCTTATGAAAAGCATCATACTATATTTCTTGTCACTGATGCATTACCTTCAGTGTTGATAAAGTCAATAACAAGCCAGAATCAATCTTTACAATTTTGCTCATTATAAACATAAATATATTCTAAGAGTTTTCAAGTGTAATCTAAATATCAATTTTTATTATACTTTAATGAAAATTAAGAAAAAACAGGTAGATAGACAGACAGACCAGAGAAATGTGTTATTCAGTAAGTTTATAATAATCATTTTAAATTCAATTATACATAATCCCTATGAAATATAATTTTTTTTTGTTCTCCTAATATATATTATAAAATTGAGAAGAGGAAATAACTATTGTTCCCAAAGCAAATTGAAACTAACATTTAAGGAAATTATACAGAAAATAGTATAGAACTGAAAGTGTATATCCTAGATATATCCCAAAGTTCATGTTGGCAATACAGTGGGAAATATCACCTAACTATCTGAGATGGTAAGACTAGTATTGATATTAGTTGATGATTGAAAGTGAAATTCAAACCAGTGACTCCTAAGTTGCCAGCTTGGTGTTCTTTTAAGTGAGCTATGAGAGCCAACTGCTCACTAGATATTCATTTCACTTCAACCATTAAGGATTTCATCCAACTGCTATATGAATTCGTGATGCTTTACTATGTCTTGCTCGGAATCCCACTGGCTGCCCGGTTTGGACATCTTATTCTTATTCAAATGTATTTGAATTAGAGAGGTGAAGAATAGCATAATAATCCCCAGCTTAACTATTTAAGATATCCTTCATCTTTAAGTGAGAATATCGATCAGGAAATCATATGTAACTGGTGGGAGCTGAATAATCGTTTTATTCTAGTTTCAAAGTCCTCACTAATACCGTACATGATATCAGCTCGTCATGACAACTGTTGTCTAACTCGTCGATCCTATGCAAACTGCTACTGTGGTCAAATCAGTGAGATGTTTAGAAAAATTAAGTTTGATCTGGTCAATTCAATACTACTTATTTCTTTTCAGGTATGATTTTCTTCAAAAAATATAGTGAAAATCATTCGCTGACAATTCCTATTTGAGTTTTTTTTTTAATAATGTATTGTTTAGGTGTTCAGGTCAGTTTAGCAGTTATAAAACGTCATACTGGCATACACTAGACCGGGGAAAACATCCTAGAAGATTTGGATTTCACCGATGACTTATGTCTAATGTTGTACAAACTCGAAAATCTACAGGCAAAATCCAACAAGTTGACAGAAGAGGCAGAGCAACGAAGACGGGACTTCAAGTGAACGTAGAGAAGACAGAGGTGATGAAGATACCCAACCAACACCACCACCACCACCAACAAGCTCCAATCACTATCAACGGGAGAAAATTAAAGGAAGTAGCCCCTTCCACCCATCTAGGAAGCACTGTTTCAACTACAGACGGTACAGACGAGGACGTCAAAGCCAGCCAGGATTGGAAAAGCAAGACAGGCTTTCATTAGCCTGAAATCAGTGTGGAGACCTACTGTACTCAGCATAAAGAACAAGATCTGGATTCTCAACACTAATGTCAAGTCAGTGCTCCTATATGGTTCAGAGACTTGGCTCGTTACGAAAGGCATTTTTAAAAAACTACAGATATTCATCAACAACTGCCTACGCTTGCTCGTTACTCAAGCTCAGATGAGAGGGCCAGAAATAATAAGCAACAAGGAGCTCTGGGGACGAACCAACGAAGCAAGAAGCTATTGCTGAACAAATATGCCCTGGAAGGAAGTGGAGATGGATTGGATTGGGCATGCACTGAGAAGACTATTCGGGGACATTACGTGACAGGCTAGGTCGTTGAGAGGAACCCAGATGGGAAACGACGAGTTGGGCGTCGGAGGTGATGGTGATATGGAGGAGATGATGTGAGGAAGAAATGAGAGCTTGTGGGCAGTCGTGGAGCCAGGTTCAAAGATTGCAGAGAACAGAGTTAAATGGAGACGTACTACTGAAGCCCTATGTTCCACTAGGAACCTAAGAGACAAATAAATATGTAAAAAAATAATAAATACTGACATACTTTCTTCGTTAAACGCTTTCAAAAACATTCTGAAGTGAATACTTCTTGGTTGGTTATTACATCAATTTCATTTTGATTTATGGAATAGTTTTCATGAACTGACGCCACTGAAAGAATGAATGAAAACTAGATAGCTTTCAACAGGTATTTAACTTTTTTATAGTACATCTATTACTGCACTCCACTAAGGCCATATCGTCTCTCAATAAGCACCTTTCAGTATCGTGATATACACATTGCATTTCAACTATAGAGTCTGAACTTAGTAATTCGTATTAAAAACAAAAGCAAAAGGAGGAAATATTTCAAGCTGTTATTCATCGTAGACTGACATCAGTTAGAGGAACAAAGGAAACCTGGGAGCACTAGACAGCTGTCTCGTCCTAATATGGGACTCCTCAGCAGTGCGCACGCACGACCCTGCATCTAATACCTATGCTGACAATTTTGTTTTGATTTAGGCAAAACTAGATAGCATTAGTAATGCAATCTTGAATGTTTTATTCATATGACCCTATAGATCCACTATTCTTCTGAATTGTTCTACTTATAAATAAAAGAATAAATAGTTTTTATTTTAAAGGAAAAAACACGAATATAGATATTCATATCAATTACTTCCTTTTAAGGTCAAGAATATATATATATATATATATATATATATATATATATATATATATGCATACAGTATATAGTTCTACTAGCTTAATAGCTTTCTCCTTAGATCTCTATCTTTCTTTGTTTTTGAACTTTGTGTCATTCTATATACAGTATTCTTTGCTAATATCCTAAACTAGAAAGGTAGTTATTCTAAAATAATGAATAAAACTCATCTTTACTTGTTCTTCTTATATATAATATCTTGTAAATATTTTCATTTTATTTATACTATGCTGTAGATAAAAATTCCTCACTATATTTTCGTTATCAAAATTACTTGTCAATTTACTATCTAAGATAGCTGGAGTTTGGCAGACTAGTATTTATACTGGGTGATGATTGAAGGTGAAATGAAAATTTGGACCATGGCCAGATTCGAACCAGTGACCACCAGGTTTCTGGCTCGGTGCTCTACTATCACCCGGTATCATTACTAGTCTGAACAGTTACGTCTATCTTAGATAGTCAAAAGGATAATCAGTATGATGCTCCCTCTGTGATGCAGTTTGATTGGGATTGGGATGAGAAGTCCTCACTGGGCAGCCAGTGTGTGCACGATCAGGCGGTATTTATGCATCAGGCAAACTCATATGGTAGTCGGACAAAACCACACTTGTGATTGGAGTGAAATAAAAATCTGGTCGGTAGTTGAGCCTCGTAGCTCAGTTGGTAGAGCATTGGGCTGGAAACCCGGTGGTCGCTGGTTCGAATCCAGCCGCGGTCCAAATTCTCATTTCACCTTTAATCATTACCCAGTAAAAATCACTTGTATCGGAAGTAGTTTAAATATCACTTGATTTCAAGTTGGAATTCATTACGGTGGGAGACTATTGGAAACCTGGAAACACTGGACAGTTGTTCCAACCCACTGTGGGACTCCTCAGTAGTGCGCGCTCATGACTTCGCCATGAACAAAACAACTGTCTACTTCTTCCATGTTTTCAATGTTCCTCCAAATGATGTCAGTCCATCATGAATTCTAACCTAAAATCAATAAATAAACCTTTGCAAACCTCCAGATATAAGTATTATTTGCTTTTTTTTATAGTGCTTAAATCGAACTACTAAACAATGAACAAAAGTCACCGATGATGGCTCATGCTCAAGAGTACTAAATAATACTGAAATATGTGCAACTTTTTTTCAATGGATTTTTGTTTTGTCATGTCAAATTAGACACTATATGCTGCTTTGTTTAATATCATCATAAATTATATGACCAACGCAAACTTTAACGTTTTTACTATTCCATTTTGTATTATACTAACAGTTTTTAAGTTAAATCTCATGTACATCAACTTGTTAGTATTTATGAGTCATTTGAATACAAGATTGACAGTGATCAGGGTTTCTGATTTTAGCAAGCATTGTACACTTTCAAGCATACATTGATACTTGACAAAAGTGTGGATTAAACGTTTAGTTCACTGAGTTGAAACGATTCTAACAACTCATTTGTTAGTTTGTTATAAGTGGTTCACTGTACTGCATATTTCATTAACGATAACTGAAGTTTCCGCTGAAATGATAATTTTGTTAAGAAAAAAGTGAGTGTTTTCCACGTGGAGTGAATTTTTATATGATTAATATGATGAAAACGTTTTAGGAAACCAAGTAGTTAAGACTCATGTACCCCGATGGCCTATTGGACAGTGATTTGGCGTTTGAAGCAATGAGTCCTAGGGTCAACTCTCAGTGGTAACAAGATTACTGACTGGAGTGCAGATTCATCCAGCTGATGAGTCCTAAATAGGGTGAAACGCACACCATGTATTTCATAGCTACCCACCATCAAGCAAATTACAGCTCAATATACCATTCAAATCGGACAAGATGAAGACCTAAGTAATAAGTCATAAACTTCATAATTGTTGAAAAGCTGGTTGATATGTACTATGTCTGATGTGTTTGGTTGCCAAGGTTAAAATGAAATATCTACCCGTTACTTCCTGAATACCATCAGGGTTGTGTACTGTTTTATAAACTTTCAAAGTTACTTCTCAAAGTAAAATTTATTCAATAATTATAAGTGTGTATGTTTCAAATAAAACTATTGGATGATTGTTGACTTTCGGAAAAACAGCTTTCAATAATAACCAATTGATCAGTTATAACTTTTTTGTCAATTGTTCATTATTGAGCTTTCTCTTTCGTTCCAAAGCGTTATCGATGCGTATAGGGGAAAAAAAATAATTTTTTCATTGTTTCCAATTCAATCATAGGTGTTTGCCGCTTTTGTTGAAAAAAATCTAAGTAATCGCTAGATAATATGCTGAATGTTTCAAAATGAAAGTTGAGAAAAAATAGTATAAAATTTATTAGCTATAGTTTTATCAAAAGTAATAATTACTACACATGATATAATATCGATAAACAAATAGACAGATAAAATCGATGTAGGACCTCGCCCTGAAGTGTATCGGATCACGTTTCTGTGCAGCAGCAACCTGTAAAATCAAGTAGGTAGTGAAAGAATGATATTGAAGTAGAGTAGTTAGGTTATATTGATTTCGGTTACTACCAGGACAATCCAAGATGCGCATTCCATCCTGTTTTGAATGCGACAGCTGGATGTACTTGTACTCCGTTGCAGAGTGATGTTGTTCCCACTGAGGCCCAAATTTAGTACTCTTCGCATCAAATACCAGGGCGTTATCCACTAAGCCACTGAGGCACGATAACCATCGCTTGTGCAATGGGTATCAGTTGTTGTAGTAATGATACTTGTAATTTCCCGTTGTTGAGCCGCTCGACCACTGCTGGGAGACGGGTGCCTCGATACTGCCGAATATTCATGATGTTATATTGATCTTGGGGACTAGCAGAGGAATCCAGGATGGGCGTTTCGGGTTATAAGTGGATAAACATTTTGAGGATAACATTTATTGGAAATACTCAAACTTGAGATATCATAGTGTGAATATATCTGCATCACTGTGACCGATTTTTATCAATTTCATCAACAGTCCTCATCCAAATATTTCTGTCGTCTCGAGGATCCCAGCCAGGGAGTCTAAATCTCCCCACACAGCTCAAACTAACGGTGGGGGACTTCGTGGACTAGTGGCACATTTTAGTGTGGCCACTATGAACCCTCTTCCAACTAAATCCAACTTCCCCTAGCATCGCACGTTGAGGTAGGTGGTAGCTCGGCATGCGCGACACATGGACAAGCCACCTACGCCAGTTAAGGTTAACAACCTCATTGACTGACTTGCCTACCTTGCCTAGTACCCTTCAACTGACTTCTGCATTGCTCGCACGGTGATTTCACCATACGTGAACAATGCGCCAAAGACACTTGTGATCGAGAATTTGTAGCCACCTCATGTCTTCTACTTTCAAAAGCTATGTTTCACACTCATATAGTAGGACAGGACGAACTGCAGGACAATATACTGGTCCTTTAATAAGTAGTCAGATATCTCGCTGGCAGACGCCATAGATGAGATGAGTTGGCAAGTTTCATACTGGCTTTCTGCATCCGAGTTGACATTTCTTCCATCAACATCGTAGAACAGCATATATACATGGTTGAAGTTTTTACGTGATATGCATATAAGAAATTTGATAGACAGTTCTTGCGGTCTTACAATTGTTGTCCTAGCACTAAGTTCAGAGACAGAAAGTGAACTTCTCGACTGGATCCCAGTTGACAGTCATCTGTACACTGTTCGACAGTGGTGTAGAGAAAATTAAAATGTGTAGTGAAACCGGCTGTTTTCTCTTGATAATATATGCTTATGCGTCCATTGACTGCAGTTTGGAAAAAACGAAAGAAGAGTTCCACAGAAAACTGTCTATCCTCCTGCTGAAAGCCAAACATTCAAATGTAGTTGCCGTAACAGCCAATTTCAGTTTTAGAGTTGGAAGACTAGACCAGACAGAATAATACTCAGATGATGGTGTCGAAATCCCAGACTAATGAACAGATGACGTGGATTGACTGCTAAAACTATCCTCAAGCAAACTTCTATTTCTAAACAACATAGACTTCAAACGGAAAGAGGGACATTTGTCTGTCATAGTATCCATGGATCTTGACCCAACTGTATACAAAAAAAGATAATATTGCTATCAGCTGTTTCTGGATGAGGTTAGGGGAGTTAATGATCGCTTCCCTTGGAACAGATGTTCGGGAAATGATAACGCTTTGCTTAGAAAACCACTATGTCCGCGTTTCAATGGAAATAAGAAAACTACAGCAATACGGTTGTTCTGAGTGAAGCTTGATGATAGGGGTGTTAAGGCTCCTTTCAACAAGATACTAACTAGACAGCTACTGGAACGGGACAACTTCACTCATCTTGGAGTCGACGTGATATAACTTAGAATCAATTTCAATTAAGCAGATACACCCCCACATTACCTTCACTTTAGTCATCATGCGCAGTCTGATTATTGTTTCAATCTCTCTTGTTTGCTTTCTATGTTTCCCAATTAATTTTCACCACTTTCTTGCCTAGTTCTTTATTCTCCATCTTAAGGCTTTCTACCTTGATGTTCTAATATTCGGTATGGCAACTTGTACTGTCATGCAGTAAGTCCAGGTCCCGCGTTCATGATGATGGTTCTCCCGCTGGTGTCAGTCTATGATTAATTCCATCCTGTGGTCAACAAGTCCCCCACAAACCTCTAGACTGAACTGCTAATGGACCAACGCTACCTTCAGTTGACTGTAAAACTTGATAAATACCAAACTGACCTTCAGAAAAAAGGTTGAGAAGGGCCAGTAGGACCCAAAAACGTTTTCGGGATTGACGAGTGCAAGTGAGCATATTTAGGCATGCTCAGGGTATAGTGAGGCATGGATGCAACCAAAATACAGATAGAGAGGAAGTCTCTTCAGAGATCACGACCAAATGTGGGTAACAAAAACTAAAGAGAAAAAAAGATCCGGCGACAGGTATCGGCACAAAGTTATTTTGACTTATCAAGGAAACAATCTCTCGAATGTCAGTTGTTAGTGAGACCCTGGTGAAGAAGAGAAGACAACTGGAACGATAGACAGAACACTTTGAGGAACATTTCTACTGGTTTCTAGCTACCATGCCGTTATTTGTCATCCAGTTTTGTCCTGAATGGAGCACCGAGATATTATCCACAACACTTGCAGAAGTCGGGAAAGCTGTAAGTAGTCTGAAACGAGAAAGGGAGGTAGGGCAGGCTGAGTTAGTACTGGAAGTATTTAGTGGTCGTGGTCGAGGGTTGTTGATCATATTAACTATGATGTTATCTAGCGTATGGGAATCAGTTGTATTCCATTCCAGCTGGTCTCAATCACTGATTGTTCCAGTCTTCAAGAAAGAAGCAAAATCTTCACATAGTAACTACAGTAGAATCTGACTATGAGCGCAGTGTCTGGAATCCAAAGTTCGGTAACTCTCAGACGCTCAAGTGAAACTGAAAAGCAGCAAATCGGAGAAGATCAGGTAGATTTCACTCCTGGTTGTGAGTGCATTAACCAGATATTCACTATCCATCGTGTCCTGGAACATAGGTACGATGTGAGTCACCAAACGTAAGCTGTATTTCTCGGCCTGAAGCCGCTATTCGACTTCGTCGATCGAAAGGTCTTGTCGCAGTGTTTCCCACTGAAGGAGGTATCATATAAGTTTATCATCATGTTGAAGGCTCTTTGCTTACGGAGCCATGGGAGTATTAGAGGCCATAGAGATGTACTAAGTGACTTTTGTTCACAGAGTGGTGTCTAATAGGAATCATCATTCTCTGTATTCTTATTTAGTTTTATCATAGGTGTGATTATGTTTAACTTTACAAGGATTGATCTTGTAACAGGAGACTCAACAGTAGACCTAGAGTACTCGGATGACATAGGTATGTTAAGTGAAGACTTAAACAAGATTCTGAGTCTACTGGGCAGTTCAAGTGGCTATTTAAAGATGTTTGGGATGCGTTTCTCAACACCTTAATTCATATTGTTGCCTGATGGCTTTTGAGTGGGATTACTAGTTTGAAAATAAGAAAGGAGGAGGTTGGATGCGCTGACCACTCTAATTTATTGAGAAGTCAGATAACTCCTGATGTTTCAGTACCTGATTTTGTCTCATCTTTATCCAACAGACCTGCTATGGCAGGATATCGAGGGGGTTATTGTAATATACAAGCCCGCCAATTACATTAAGTTAGCAGCTACCAGTAGAGAAAACTTTAGAATACTGAACCTGGACACAAACTTGGGTCAAAAATTTCAACTTTCAATTAAGTAATCAGTAATGTTGTTGCTTGTATTATCCCGTCATTCATTGGACCGAAGTGATCGGTCTCTATTGGTACATGGGCCCCTCGCTGAGAGACAGGTACGTACAGCTGACGAGTCT